CAAGCAATTTCAGGACAACGCCTGCCTCTCATGGGACAAGCTTCACGCAAGCGCTCCCAATCGTGATCACGATTGTTGGGATCAGGGTCATGGTCTACAACCGCGCAACCATGACATGGGCAGCCCTCACACCAGGCAAACATGTGTCTCACAGCCTTGTGCAACCTATCAAGCACCTTCAAAGAGGCCCACCAAACCTCAGACTGCACGGCTTCGTTGACAGCATTTGCCTTGACTGTCTGATCAGCTGCCTGGTCTGCTGCAGGGCCAAGGAATAACGCAAGATTCCAACCCCAACGAAGAGGCCTCTCAATTTTCAACATTTCGTGAGTGGCAAATGCAACCGTTCCCCACCTAGCAGCATGAACTTTTCCTTGGAAGGCCTGAATCGACGGGCGGAGCTGCCTGCCCACGGCTGAGTCGAAACAACGCTCGCAGAGCCTTTGTTGCGTGTGCTTCTTGCGCACCAGTTCGGAAACAACTGCCAAGGTATCCACCGCACTATTTAACTCAGGCAGCCCTGTCAGCATTCGCTTGGCGGCATTGTGTAACACATGCAGGATTCCTGGGATTGCAAGCGCATTGTTGAAACGCACAAGTGTGTCGTCCTCTGGCCAGTCCTGCTCATGCTCTACGACATTCTCTGCAACCCAGGGCAACAGGTCATGCAGCCTAGCACCTGCGACTTGAACAATGTTAAACTCAGTCCCCAGGTCTGATGTGCAAGAAACGATCTCAGAAGTCAGGGTGGCTAAGTCTACAGCTGAACCTGTCTCAAGAAATAAGGCATGGATTGTGGCAGCAAACTTGTCCGGAAGGCTGGTTCTGCCAGAGCCTAGCACCACAGGAGGAGGGCGCTCCGCAACAAGAAAGGCACTCAAGTTCTGCTGCAGTTTCCTTTGCTCTGCAAAGAAAGATTCTGCATCCCAATTGTCGCGATCAGCACACATGTTCGTCATGATATCTACTGTATTAAGTGCTGGCAGTAAGTCCTCCACGCAAGCTCGAGACATTAGAACTAGCTCATAATCCCTTCCACCTTGCGGAGACGAGTCCACCATCATCCACCTGACGAATTGAAGTTGCATCCGGTGCCAGAGCGATCGCCTTTCAAGGCGGGTGTGCACCATAAACGCAGCATCAAGCAGCAAACGCCATCTGCTAACTTGCGACGGGCTTGTCTGTATGTGCTCGTCAACCATCTCTACAAACATCGAAAGCAAAGATTTCGGCACGATGAGTCCCAAGGCCTGCTTGACAGAGGCTTTCAAGTGCGCGTCTGAAGTTAGCAAATCACACTGAAGCAGAACTTGAATTACAAAAGCTGCACGATAAGGAGCAGATCTGTGCACTTGGTCGGTAGCGCGAGCTGCAGACACTTCTCGTATGCTGGACTGGACAGTCGCAGGGTCCAGCTCATCAACAAGTCGCTGCAGGCGACAAAGGTCCTGATGAACTGTGCCTGCGAGCTCGCGTTGATCATGTGTTTCAAGCAAACGCGAAGCAAAGCTTCGCAAGTGATCTGCCACTGACCTTAACAGAGCATAGTCCACATCTCCAAACATTTCATGGTCCTGGTCTGCTGAAAATTCGAATCTCGCAGCTGGCAAAGTTGCTTGAGAGAGGCCTAAGCGGTTCCAGTTGCAATACCAAGTGTACTTTGGGGTCGCCACCAAGCCATTGAAATCTGGCAAAAGAAACCGCTGACACTCTGCTGAAGAAACGCTAAAGGCTACATCCGGCAGGAGGCGGAGCAAGACTGCAGGTGGGTCACGTTGGCAGACCTCTCGCAAACCAAGGAAATGCTCTCTGAAAAGTCGTTCTGCTTGCCCTTCTTCCATTTGCGTGATAAGCCCATGGGGTCGAGTGTCTGTAAACTGCTGAACGGGAACAGCAGCAGGCAGCGGACAAATTCTATCCACCTTGCAAACCAGCAAGCGGCCTTCAATTCTCTGGTCAGGGCACTGCCTTTTCCAGAAGCTGTACTGGTCTCGCTCTTGCGCTGACAACACCATGCAATGGTCATAACGAGCTTCCATTGAAAACCTCATCAAAGCCAGAATCGAACCTGCAACTGAGGCATCAGGCCCCAAAGACTCAGGATCTACATCTCGCCCCTCTCGCCTGCCCAACTGGATAGCGCGACCCTGGAGTCGCACAAGGGCAGGCAAAGAACCAAGCCAGCAAAGCATCACGCGCCACAGGCGCAACGTTGAAACCATGAGAGCTCGCTACATGAGGGTCAACTCACTGCACAGGCTATGTCCCCTAGCGCTTTGAAAAATCTACCTTGCAAGGGTCATGTGACATGTGTTTAGCAATCATGGTGCGGTACATAAGTGGTGCTTTGGGGAGCTTTGGTCACACGAATTCAAGACTTGGGCGCCCTGGGGTTTGGGAGGCTCCAAGCCAGGGATTTTGAGGGTTTTCAAGGTTCTTCGGTTGGTCAGGTTGGCCACCAACAGTCCTTCAAAGAGATAAGAGTAACCCCTACTATAAAAACAAAGGACTGTTGGGAACATCCCAGTTCCTGGAGCTAGATAGATTAAGCTTGACCTAAGCTACTGGCTTGGCAACTGTCCACTAAGCAGTCACCCGTACAGTTTAGATCCGAAGCGTTTGTCACACAGCTGCTGCTAACGTTTTGCAGTAGGACACTGAGCACCTGCAGCACACGCCAGGCATGCGCACTTCTGCAGAAAATATTACAAGCCACCGAGCATCATGTCATCACCTACACTCTGCAGAATGTGTTGGCCTGGCTCACTGTGCCCCTTCCACTGCGCTACGGTGTTACGCAATCATGCTTTGGGCGATCTGATTGTCATTTTATGGAAGGGATGCTTGATGACGTCGCACAAAACCTAGGCCGTTCTCCGTTCTCGGGCATGGTCCTAAAAAGAACTTCGATTCCAGCCGGGGGATTAGGACTGGACATGATGTTGGTTCGCCAAAAAAGCAAATTGTGGCCATGTATCGCTTCCTTGCCACAGTGTCCCGGCCAAATTTGCTACAAGTTACAAAAATGTTTGGCTGCAACAAAAAGAAACTTCTTTGTTGCTGAACGCTGACTGCTTGCCAACAGCGATGGAGAATATATGTTGCTGCGTCACGCTCACTCGCTGCGGGAGCGAGCGCGGCATTAAGATCTGCGAGCGAACCGGGCACACGACACGACACCCTTCGTCCCTCCAAGTGCTACACGCTTGGCCACACTCAGCAGTTTACAGTAGCAGTGGGCACAGGTTTTCACGCATCACGAGCACTGTTGCAAACCTCTTGAAACTTGCAGTTGTTGCCAGTTGTTGCCCTTTCAATTTTCAAGTCACCGAGATCGCTGAACATGCGCTGGAGGTATTCTTGTCGGGGTCGTTTTGGTCATGTGCGGGGGAATCACAAACAAGACCACGAGGTGCACATTCCATCCACTTTGCAGCACGCGGTTATGCGATCTGGGAACTGGGAACTCGGAACCAACTTACACTTGAACCAACCAACCGCCAGAATTTGTACCTTTCGCTCTGGCCCTGGCAAAGTCAGCCGACATTGCAAAGAAAACTTTGGGCGGATGGTCAGGCTGGGCCAGAACTGACAAGCAAAGACTCAGCATCTGCATCTTGGTCTTGATGATCTCAAATTTCAACTAGGCAAAAAGTTGGAATTACAGCGTCACACATAGCCTCATTGCCTCATACCTCATAGGCACACAAAGCCAACAAAGCACCAGCCTGGGCCTACGCAAGCATGAAAGAATTACTCTTACCTCTCACTCTCACCGCAGAAAGCTGTCCGCCATCGCAGCTGGTGTGAGTTGAGTGTTGATGCTCAAGATTTGCTTGACCCAGGCGTCAAGTCCACACCCACTGACATCCACTTTGACGCAAACTAACTAAAGCTTGCTTCGTGCCCTCGCAAATTCTCCTTGCAAACATGTCTCAAACAATGTCGAATTGGTCGTTCGGATTTCGGAATTCCTGTTTTGCGGCTTGCGTCAAGATTAATTCCTTGGAACCCAAGAAGGTCTCTTTCTTGAAGATTTGGGCCTTTGTGCCAGACAAGCTAAGTCTTTGTCGCGATTAAAATGAAGTCAAACTCAACGACAGCAACTGCGCACTTGCTTAAGTCCTCAACTCCAAAGTGACCTGCAGTGCTCGTCGTGAGCAGAAGGAAAACCCTATAACAGAATCACGCATTGAATCTATCGGCATATTCTGGCCCAGCTGCCGCTGTGGGCTGTAATGTACCGGTCACCGGCATCTGACGCGCAGGCTCCAAGCTTTCAACTTCTGATGACTGGTTGGGAATAATGAAACGACAACATGACGTTTGACAAGAAGGAACCTCACCTCCTCAACAGTTTCCATCCCTGTCAGCAACAGCAACGCAGGCGTTTCTGCTGCTCAAAAAAATTGATTTGACACAAGTAAAAAATCAGAATTTAGTGCCATTTGTCAACGTTGGTCTTCATTCGAAGTGTTCTGTTCAAGTCGCACAAAACAGGCTCGACATTTTTTGCTGAGCACCAACACAGCGGCAGCCACAATTTTCGACTGTCTGGTGTTTTCTGGGGAGGGCTTGTGGCTTTCATGCGTTTTACCAGTTGCAGGCTGTTTCGTTGTCCATGTCCTTGTTGCAAGTCTAGGAGTCCCCTAAAATGCTCCCCACATAGTGGGATTCCCCAAAACACAACCCCCCAAGTGTAAACCCTAAACCCCAACAAGGCACCCCTAGATTCCAGAACCTTGGTCCCACCATAAGCCCAGTGTTCGGCCGGTCTTCAAGTGTCATAAACACATGTCTCACGTCGAAACCACCAAACGCCACAACAAACCACGGCAGCCAAAACTGGTTTAGGGTTTATAGGGTTTATAGGGCTTGCAGGTTTTATTAGGGTTTACAGGATTTATAGGGTTTATAGGGTGGTTTGTTATAGGGTCTCAATTCTCCCGACCCAGAGACGCGGAAACTCATGACCCTCACTCTTTCACTTTCTGACACGCCTCCTCCATCCTCGCCCCCCTCACCAGTGGAGATGCTGGCCTCAGCAGTGACGGCTATCAAGGGAGTCATACTCGGACACGGAAGGATGTATCATGATGTATCCTTAAGAGGTTTCATTTAACATACTCCTAATATGGCCCCTAGCGATTCTTTACAAAAAGGGTCCCCAAACCCAACGGTACAATGTAAAGGGTCCAAGTAGAGTCCCATGAGGCTAAAGGCAAATGCTCCACACTAACTAGGGCCTTCTGCCGACCGATTGGTCCATATGAACACGGAAAGGGATAGAAGATGGTTTCTTGTAACAACATCCTCAGCCCGAAGCCCAGAAACCTTGAGACAAAGCCTGTGGACAAAGCCCCCCTAGATCCCGAAATGCAGACTCCTCCCTCCTTTTGCTTCTAGGCTGGAGGGGCTATGGCAAGTGGCCTTTCGCACCACGAAGCACTCCTAAACCCTACATAAACCCAGATCACTCCGAATCCCCCCTAAAAACCCTAAACACCCGACCTAACCCCTGAACCCCTAAACTCTCCCCCCCCCGCCCCCTCCCCCTCCCAGGTGCCTCCCGAAGCTTCGGTAGATCATGGGCCAAGATGGCCTTGAGGGCCTGGACATGGAATGGAACTTATGGTTTTAGGGTTTTGCGCTTCAGGCTCTTTCTGCATATGTAAAAATACTACTACTACTACTACTACTACTACTACTACTACTACTACTACTACTACTACTACTACTACTACTACTACTACTACTACTACTACTACTACTACTACTACTACTACTACTACTACTACTATCACTACTACTACAAATAATAATAATAATAATAATAATAATAATAATAATAATAATAATAATAATAATAATAATAATAATAATAATAATAATAATAATAATAATAATAATATTCAAACTGATACTAGCAAACATATATATATATATATATGTATATACATATATATATATATATATAGATAGATAGTGATAGTAACAAAAAACACACAAGAAAAACACAACCAAGTAGTAATTGCCACGGTAGTAATGGTAAAGGGGTTGGGTGTTTAAGGTTGCCTCTTCTTGGCCACCGCCACGGAGTGCCCAGCTTTTTGGGAATAGACATGTGTACCCCATACTTCAGGAAACCTTATCCGACAGTATCCTGCCAATTTGCAGGGTTTGGGGCGGGTTGTGTTCAGGACTGCTGAGAAGATGCCCCCCACACTCGGCCTAGCGCTCCCCCCCCCCCCCCCCCTTCTTCAAAGCCCAACGACCCTTCGGCCACCCAACAATTCTGGGGTGTATAGTTTAGGATATACTCAAACCCTAAACCCTAAACCCTAAACCCCAAACCCTAACCCTGCGCTTTAGAAACTACCGATGCCCCAACCCCCCCAACCAGCCCCAGCCTCGGTGGGCTCCCCTGCGGGACTTCCCTCCCAGCCGACCTAGGGTTTAGGGTTTAGGGTTTAAGGTTTAGGGTTTAGGGTTTAGGGTTTAGGGTTTAGGGTTTAGGGTTTGCTGTGACAGCGTAGATGCTGTGAAGGTTAGGTTTCGGAACAAGCTCGAAAGCTTCGTGAGGTGCGAAAAGCAGCATTGGCCCGATTGTGGAGGGCCATCTAACACTTTTCTACCACCCCACGCCGTCCAAGGCGGCAAAGCCACCCAAACCTATTCCTTTTAGGGTTTAGGCCTAAACTCAGACAACAGCCCACTTCTAAAAACTTAGGCAGTTTCAGGGATGCCGCAAGTTTCAGAGGGGCAGGCTCGGCACCCAGTCAGGGACCAGCCGGCTGTGGATGAAGTGAAGGGCACCGGTTCAAGGAAGTCAGGGGCCCCAATAAGAAAAGCGATGGCTCAGACCAGCCCACATTGGCCCCAATAAGAAAAGCGAGGGCTCAGACCAGCCCACATTGGCCCCAATAAGAAAAGCAAGGGCTTAGACCAGCCCGCATTGGCCCCAATAAGAAAAGCGAAGGCTCAGACCAGCCCACATTGGCCCCAGTAAGGAAAGCAAGGGCTCAGACCAGCCCACATTGGCCCCAGTAAGAAAAGCAAGGGCTCAGACCAGCCCACATTGGCCCCAATAAGAAAAGCAAGGGCTCAGACCAGCCCACATTGGCCCCAATAAGAAAAGCGAGGGCTCAGACCAGCCCACATTGGCTCCAAGAAGAAAAGCAAGGGCTCAGAGCAGCCGCCAAGGCAGTGGGGGCCAGGTCAGAGCGGGTCCGAAGAGGGGTCAGGTGGCCAGGGGGGGCCAGCTTCGGGATTGGCCCCCGAAAATGCCAGCCACCTTCTGGCACAAGGAAGGGGGGGGGGGGGGGGTCCCGGAAGAGAACGTGTTCCGGTACCGGGCCCATTGTGGGTGCTACCGACCTCCGGGCTGCAGGAGGCGGGCAAGCGGTCTGGGTCGACTCCCGCCATAGAGGTCGAAGGGCTTACCCCTCTGTAGAGGGGCGGCCTAGGCCCTGAGTTTAGGGCACGTGGGAAGGGCACGGGAAAGCAGGACAAAAGGACGATGGGGAGGAGGGGTGTGGGTGGGGTTTAGGGGATAAAAACACCTTCGTGCCGAAACCTTCAAGCCTTTAAACCCTAAACCCTAAACCCAAAACCCTCAGAACCTTAAGCCCGAAAACCCTCGAACCCTTAGAACCCTAAACTTTCAAAGCCTTACCCAAAACTCTACACCCACAACCTAAGCCGGTCCCCAACCCCTCCCCCCCCCTCCCGAGCAGAAGCTGCGTTCCACTTGACAGGCAAGGCACGGCCAGAGTCACCTCGTCCAGATTCCTCAGACGAAAAACTTTGGGCGATAGGGTTCTTGGACCTTAAAGTTGAGGGTTTAGGGTTTAGGGTTCAGGTGTTGGTGTGGCATGAGTGTTGGTATACGGTGAGGAGTTTAAAGGTTCTAAGCTTGAGAAGCTTTCGGTTTCATGAACACTTCTGACTTTTGGTGGTGGGGCCGGAGGGGGTCGGGTCTGGGGCTTTTGGAGTTTGGGGTTAGCCCCCAACCCCACCCACTCCCCAAGTGCAAGTTCCTGCAATCTTTTCAAAGGATACTTTCCTAGTTCTACTTCGCGGCCTTGGAAGAGGCGCCTTCTAAGGACGACTTCTTCAGAAACCAGGAATCGCGCGTGCGCTGTACACTGACACTCATTCTTGAACCCGGGCTGTTGGACCCTTAAGGTTGTACCCTTGGGTTTTGGGGAGCATTGTAAAAGATCCTTCAGGTATATAAAGTTTAAGGGCCAGATAGGAGGATATTCACGGGGTGCAACCTCAGAGTTACCAGTCTTAAGGCCTGGAAACTCTAAACCCGAATCCAAGTGCCGTCCAGGAGTCCAGGTGGCATGCCACCACCCACTGGGAACGAACATAACCTGCGCCGGCTGGCAAGAACTTGGTTCCCTAAACCCTAAACCCTAAACCCCTAATCCCCAATCCCTAAACCCTAAACATAAACCCTAAACCCTAAACCCCCCCCCCCCCCCCCCCCCCCCCAAACCGTTGAAGATTACGGTCTCTCGGCCCGTTAAGCCAGGAGGCCAAGCCCATGAAATCCCAGGCCCATTGGGACTAGGATTTCTAGAGCTTGGCCTTTAGCTGAAGAGGCCTGGCCCTTGAAATCCAACGACCTCCTGGCTGAACAGGGTTTAGGGTTTAGGGTTTAGGGTTTAGGGTTAGAGGTTTATAGGAAGGACTGGCCTTGAATTCAAAAGGCCAGACATTCAGGTGCCCGGCCTCCTGGTCTTGGGGAGTTCAGGTTTCGTGGCCATAGAAACCCAGAATGTTTAGGGTTTAGGGTTTAGGGTTTAGGGTTTTAGCTATTATGGAACGAGGATGGCCCCCAAAACCCTCTGAAAGACATTCCTCAAAATGATCCTCTTAAAACCCAAAGAAGGGAAAATGTAAAAGTCGCCAAGGGCCAACCTAGGGAGTTCGGTACCCCCAAACCCTATTTCGTATGGCTTCTGGGTACCTAATTCCATAATGGTACTACAAACGGACCCTCTGGCGAAGCAGGCCGCGGCAACTCCCCAAACCCTTTTAGGGTCATTTGGTCCCCAAGCTAGGTTTGTGTACATATCCCTTCTTGGGTATTTCGTAGGGTCCTTAAAGGGCATGGGGGTTCAAGGGGGTTATGTAAGTCAAGGTTCCCTAGTGCTCCCCACTACTCCCTAAGGCTCCGGAAGGTTCCCTAGGCCCCCTATGAACCCCCCCCTCCCTGATAAGGACCCTATAAATATTTGCCTGTTACTCAGAGGGTTTTGAAGATCCAACGCACATGCTAGGTCATGGAGTTCTGAGGGTAGCATGTATAAGCCGAAGAGCTCTTAACACAGCTCTAAACCCTAAACCCCCCCACCGCAAACCCTAAACCCTAAACCCTGAACGGTCAAAATCTGGTATCAAGACCGGCCTCGCCAGGCGCAGCCGTGCACACCTCTCCAGCGCTTTATCTACTTGCGAGGTTTCGGGGGTTTAGGGTTTAGGGTTTAGGGTTTAGGGTTTAGGGTTTAGGGGAGAAGGTCTAGGGGTTTATGAGGTTTAGGGTGAGTTAACAGGCCGCTGTGGGTTGAGAAGCGGAGTCTGAAGTCTAAGTGGAGAGGGAGCTTCTGATGGGGCGCAGGCTGGTTGCTTTCGTTGTGTTTCGTGTTTTTTTGGCATTTGTTGCGTCACAGGGTTGAGCCGGCAGTCATGGCCGTCACCAGAGATACGCCCTCTGAGCCTAATTTCATGACTTCCGACCTGCACCCCAAACCCCAAACCCTAAACCCTAAACCTAAAGCCCTGAGCTGGTTTAACCAAAGCCCTATGGCCCTGTAGGCTGGCTGGTTCTTAGTAGGGACTGAGGGAATGAGGGTTCTATATTCTGTAATCCCTAAAACTCGAATCCCTAAACCCTAAACCCTAAACCCGAAACCCTAAACCCTAAACCCTATAGACCCTAAACCCTAAACCAGGGGCTAGGTTCTTCGAGTTGATGTCCGCACCTTGCCTGGAGGCCCTGCGGAGGGTGCTGGAGATACCTGGTCTTGGTTGGGGTTTGGGGTTTAGGGTTTAGGGTTTAGGGTTTAGGGTTTAGGGTTTAGGGTTTAAGGTTTAGGGTTTAGGGCTTCGGGTTTAAGGTTTAAAGGGTTAAGGGTTCAGGGCTCACAGCTTTGAAGGTTCAGGCACGAGACCCGAAATCCGGTCCTCTGATTCATCAGCCACCCCCCCTCCCTCCCTCGGAATGGAAGTAGTCCACCACCCCCAGCTCACTCGCAGGATTTTAGGGATCGAGGTATGGGCTTGAAGACCGGGGGTTTAAGGCTTTGGAGGGTGGCAGGAGCTGGGATTGTAAGTGAACTGACCATAAAACATTCAAACCCCAAACTCACGACCCTCAAGACCACCCTAAACCCTAAACCCTAAACCCTAAACCCTAAACCCTAAACCCTAAACCCTATAGCCCTAAACCCTTAACCCGAAGAAGTCCGCGCTCCAAGCTGCTGCCACGGGGGTCGGTCTTCTGGGCGCTCGGAAGCTTCCTCTGCTACGTCTGATTCAGTGTTCAAGAGCTGAGGGTGGAGGGTTCAGGATTGAATAGGGTTTACGGTTTAGGGTTTCGGGTTTAGGGTTAGGGTTTATAGGGTTTAAAGCTTAGGAATTCGGGTTTTGGGGTTCGGGCTGCTGAGTGCCTCGAACTCAGGTGCCCGTTCGCCCGAATCATGGGCCCTTGTCCAAGGAAGGACACCGTCGGGATGAGTGAAGAGGACGTCAACTCTGTCACTGTCGACGTAGTCCTCCTTGACCGCCAAACAAGTTGATCCCACCGCGCCAAGGGTCGAGGAAGGAACCTCGTGAACTAGTGGTCCAGCAGCAACAAGTCTGCAGTGGTCAGAACTGCTCTTGACCCATCTACAAGATGATGAACTGCGTTGCAACCATCCTCAGCAGTAGCGAGACGATTGGCCCATCTAGCGTCGATGTGCTCGCAACGGTCAGTTGCCAGTACCAACAGGGTCAGTGCACCCTGTCACAGTGTAGCCTTGCTTGCACCACTGCACAAGGAAGCTGCCCCCTTGACACTAGACAGCTTCTACAGTGGTGCGTTCACACTGGCACGACTTTTCTCACATCCTTTATAGAGATTCGGGGTTAGCGGCAGTCGCATACTGGCTGCGAACAAGGAAAAATTGCATGACAAGGAATGTTGGGCACCACACGGGCTCTGCGTGACCCTAAGTCCTAAACCCTAAACCCTAAACCCTACAGGCGTTTCGAGTCTTCGGGTTTAGGGTCTTAGGGTTTAAGGAAGGTTCGAGGTTTGGGAGCATGAGCTGTTGAGGGTTTTAGGTTTTACAGGGCTTGAGGCTTGGGGCTTAGGGTTCTTTATGGGGCTTGAAGGTTTTATTTCGCGCTTAAGACCTTAGGGGGCTTGAGGTCTTTGACCTGGCAGTTGCCTTTGATTTGAGGGTGGTGGTCGGGCGAATGATCCGGGACTAGGGCTTATAAGGTGCGAAGGAAGAGGGCATGAAATGATTGCGGCTTCTTGGATCCAAGTTTAGGGTCTGGACAAACCCAACCCTAAACCCGAAACGGAAACTGCAGACCTCCCAAACTAAATCAACCCCCCCCCCCCCCCCCCCCCCGCCCCCCCGCCCGGCTCCATACACAAAGATGATCTCCCAGAAAATGCTTCAGCTGTCGAGTGGGGTTGAGCTCACCAGCCCTGCTTGCCCGAGCGGCCCCGTCGGGTTTCGGGGCTTCAGTGCTTGGGTTTAGGGCTTAGGGTTTAGAGTTCAGGGTTTAGGGTTTCAGAACCCTTAGAAACTTTGAACCCTAAGCCCCTAAACCCATACTAACTTCACTGGAACTGCGCTTGCAGGCCAAAATTGCATCCGCCCCCTCCCGCCCCCCCACCCCAGCAAAGAAAACAAAGAAGCAGTCTCCACACTACCCAGCTGCCGGCAGCAGCAGCCATACTTTGTGACCACGCACTTGTGCCAACCAGCTTTCCTCTCCCAGTTGAGTTTCCCCGGAGTTTAGGGTTTAGGGCTTATAGGGGTTAGGGTGGTTCGGGTTTTTTTTTAAGTTAGAGTTTCCTGACTTGTGAAGAACCGAACCCAGGCATGCATTCAACCCTGGACCTCCTGAAGCCGGCCCGAACAACTTGTAAGTAACTATAGGGTTTAGGGTTTAGGGTTTAGGGTATAAGCTTTCTGGGACATGCATCCTCAATCGCCGAAGTGTCAAGTAGTAGGGAAATTTTGAGTTTGGGCACCCTAAACCCTAAGCACAACGCCCCTCCTTTTTGTTGTTGGGTTGGGGCGGGGGGGCTGGGGAAGGTTGAACAGCTTTCTTGGCAACGTGCCTATCCACGCACTCAGGTTGTTATCAGGGAAGGTAGCTCGCTCGTCGCACAGCAACCCAAAACACAAACAGAAGCTGAAGATGCTTTGGGGGTTCAGGTTACAGATTTTTCCTATGCAGCGCGGCACATCTGGTGGGAGCTCTAGCTATAGGAACGTGACTTCCCAAACGCGCTTCCCTCCCTGAGGAAATTGAGAGAATCAGGGTTTGAGACTAGGGCCGTGTGCATAAGCCTGGCCAAAGCAACAAGAGCCATCATCCACGCCCTTCATCCAACCACTTCCTCATACCCCTCACTTTTTTCTGACCAACCCCGGTTCGAGAGTTTTTTTTGGGATTGTGTATACAGTAGGGCGTCGACAGCCCGATACAAAAGGTACTCCACTACCCAGGTTTCATAGCGAGTTCGAGACCTCTCCTCGTGCCGGTGGAAGCCCACGCCAGTGTCCCGGCGGCCAGCACTAAAGAGAGGTTTGCCCTGCCTTGGAAGGTCAGAAACCCTAAACCCTAAACCCTAAACCCTAAACCCTAAACCCTAAACCGGTAGGGCTTAGGGTCAGAATCACGAGGTGAGGGGCTAGCGGTTTCGGGCTTAGGGTGTATTCGGGGGACACGACCAAGTTCCTGTCGTCTGGAGCCATCAAGAAGCCCAGGCCCCCAAAACTGCAAACTATGAGGTGCACGGTTTAAGGTTTAGGGTTTAGGGTTTAGGGTTTAGGGTGGTCAGAGTTAGTAGGAAAGAAGGTTCGAGTCTGATGATGAGTTAGAGGCCTTTGGCCCCTCGAACCCTAAACTCCTAGCCCAGGGTGTAAGGGTTGGTTCGTCAGCGGTCTTCGTGATACGAACGTAGTCCCTTTCGACAACATTCCAAGAGGGTTTAGGGTATCGGGTGTAGGGCTTAAGGTTTAGGGTTTATAGGGTTTTAGGGCCCTGCCTGCCTGCCTTGCTTGCCGTACTTGCATCTTTGAAACGCTGCGGCTACTAGAACTGAACTCGAAACTGCAGTGCTGAGTGCAAACTTGACCCACCTCGCCAAAACCAAAGAGCCCCAAATCCGAAACGTAAAGAAACGTTTTCAAAAGCGCAGGTTCAAACCCCCAAACCCTTGCCCTAAACCCTAAACCCTTAAACCTAGTTAGTTTAATCGAAGCCCAGGTTCACGGCAGCTAGCAGCTCCGGCACTTCGAACTCGCGGCCCAGAAACGGTAAGGTGTTCACAAAGTCGTTCTCCTAAGGTGCTCCCAAACTCCCCCCCCCCCCCCCCGCACGCGCGCGCGGAGCTTATACGGGGGTTTACGAAATCGGGGACACCCAATATAAAGACCCCCAAATCGTAGGATTCCCTTCTAAGGACCCCAAGAAGGTACCCCGAATTTCGGAAACCCCTAAAGGGGAATCTAGGGTTTAAGGTATATTGTTAAAGCTCAGGTTCTCATAGCTTCTTTTCTTGTTGCCTCCAGGGTTTAAAGGGCCCTAAACCCTAAACCCTAAACCCTAAACCCTAAACCCTAAACCCTAAACCCTAAACCCTAAACCCTAAACCCTGGGTTCAAGGTTCTCAAAGTTTCGGACCACAGGATGAGCCTTGGCTACAAGGGTGCGCAGTTCCAGGAGGGCGCTGGTTTTCTGGATTTCGGGTTCGTGCAGGATTTAGGGTTTGAGGTTTAGGGTTTAGGGTTTAGGGTTCAGCAGCTCTGGATCGAGCAATCTCTAGTAGAGCCTCTGTCTGGACTCTAGAAAAAAACCCACCCACCCAGAGAATCCCAAAACATTAAGAAATATAAAGTTCAAATTTTTCCTCAGCAAGCCCTGTCCTCCAACCTCATTTATTCATTCTGCTCGTGTTTTTTGTCATTCTGCTTGGTTTCCATTCTGCTCGTATGCGTTTCTTTCTGCTCGTATTCATTCTGCTCGTATTCGTTCTTTTTCTGATCTGCTCGTCTCGTGTTCGTTCTCGTTCTGCTCGTATTCATTCTGCTCGTATTCGTTCTCTCTCTGCTCGATTTCAGTCCGCTCGTTTTCGTTGTTTTTCTTCTCGTATTCATTCTGTTCGTATTCGTTCTCTCTCTCTCTCTCTGCTCGATTTCAGTCTGCTCGTCTTCGTTCTCTCTCTGCTCGTAATCATTCTGCTCGTATTCGTTCTCTTTCTGCTCATATTCATTTTGCTCGTGTTCGTTCTCTTTCTGCTCGTATTTGTGCTTTTGCTGCTCGTATTCGTTCTCTCTCTGCTCCATTTCAGTCCGCTCGTTTTCGCTGTCTTTCTGCTCGTACTGAGTCTGCTCGTACTCGTTCTCTTCTGCTCGTATTCATTCTGCTCGTATTCGTTCTCTCTCTGCTCGATGTCAATCTGCTCGTATTCGTTCTCTTTCTGCTCATATTCATTTTGCTCGTGTTCGTTCTCTTTCTGCTCGTGTTCGTGCTCTTTCTGCGCGTGTTCGTTCTCTCTCTCTGCTCGATTTCAGTCCGCTCGTTTTCGCTGTCTTTCTGCTCGTACTGAGTCTGCTCGTACTCGTTCTCTTTCTGCTCGTATTCATTCTGCTCGTATTCGTTCTCTCTCTGCTCGATGTCAGTCTACTCGTATTCGTTCTCTCTCTCTGCTCATATTCACTTTGCTCGTGTCGTTTTCCCCGGTGACCCTGCCTATTTTTGGCCGTCTTGTTGATTGTGTTTGGCACACTTTAAGCTGCCTGGCTTCCACATGGTTGCTTTCCAATTAGTGCCCCGGTGACCTCGCCTCATGTTGGCTCCTGCTCGTAGGGTTTGATGAGAGGCCTAGAGGTTTGTCGTATGTCCCCTCTCTTCGTGCTCGTAGGGTTTGTCGTATGTCCGTCCCTTCATGCTCGTAGGGTTTGATGAGAGGTCTACAGGTTTGTCGCACGTCCCCTCCCTTCGTGCTCTTAGATTTTGTCGTATGTCGCCTCTCTTCGTGCTCGTCGGCTTTGTCGTGTGTCCCTCTTCGTCTTCTTGCAAAGAATCCCAAGAATTAAGAAACTGAGATTGTATTTTCAGAGGTTTGCCGTATGTCCCCTCCCTTCGTGCTCGTAGGGTTTGTCGTATGTCCCCTCCCTTCGTGCTCGTAGGGTTTGATGAGAGGTCTACAGGTTTGTCGTACGTCCCCTCCCTTGGTGTTCTTAGGGTTTGTCGTATGTCCCCTCCCTTCGTGCTCGTCGGCTTTGTCGTATGTCCCTTTCCTTCTGCTTGCAGAGAATCCTAAAACATTGAGAAATGTACGGGTTTATTTCGAGGTTTGTCGTATGTCCCCTCCCTTCGTGCTCGTAGGGTTTGACGAGAGGTCTACAGGTTTGTCGTACGCCCTCTCCCTTCGTGCTCTTAGGGTTTGTCGTATGCCTCCCTTCGTGTTCGTAGGGCTTGTCGTATGTCCACTCCCTTCGTGCTCGTATGGTTTGATGAAAGGTCTACAGATTCGTCGCATGTCCCTTCCCTTCGCGCTCTTAGGGTTTGTCGTATGTCCCCTCCCTTCGTGCTCGTCGGTTTTGTCGCATGCCTCTTGTCTTCGCGCTTGCTTTCCCCAGACCGAAGGTAGCCAAAAGTGTTGGTCCGGATTGACAAAAAATGTTTTGTTTTCCCCCCACCCCACCCTCTAACCATTCCAGTTCGAGCCAATCCCCAACCCACCCTAGAACCAACTACCCGTATTCGTTCTCTCTCTTGCTTGCGAAGCCCTCATCCAGGTTTCCAACCCCAGAATGGGGGTCCGGAAGTTGCTTTTCCCCACCCCGCCCTCGGACCACCCAAGATGAGAAACACTAAGAAGGGGCCGCCGCATTCCCGGCCCCGCAAAGCCTTCATCTGGATCTGGCTCAGAATCAGGTTTTCAAGCCCAGAATGGGGGTCTGGGCCAGAAGAGGGAAGGGGGCATGGGGGTGGGGGGGGGTAGGGGGGGCAGGGGGGGGGGGGTGGGGGGGGGTGGGGGGGGTGGGGGGGGGTGGGGGGGGGGGGGGGGGTGGGCGGTGGGGGGGGGGGGGGGTGGGGGGGGGGGGGGGTGGGGGGGGGGTGGTGGGGGGGGGTGGGGGGGGGGTCGGGGGGGGGTGGGGGGGGGGGGGGGGGGTTGGTGGGGGGGGGGGGGGGGGGGGGGGGGGGGGGGTGGGGGGGGGTGGGGGGGGGGGGGGGGGTGGGGGGGTGAGGGGGGGGTGGGGGGCAAAAAAAAGGCAAAAAAGCCGTGGCCATTGGCAAAAAAGCCGTGGCCATTGGCAAAAAAGCCGTGGCCATTGGCAAAAAAGCCGTGGCCATTGGCAAAAAAGCCGTGGCCATTGGCAAATGCCACTTGCCAATGGCCACGGCTTTTTTGCCAATGGCCACGGCTTTTTTGCCAATGGCCCCGGCCCCCATTAAGGTTGGGGCCCAACCTTAATGGGGAACGTGGCCATTGGCAAAAAAGCCGTGGCCATTGGCAAAAAGCCCGAAAAGTTGCCAATGGCCACGGCTTTTTTGCCAATGGCCACGTTCCCCATTAAGGTTGGGGGGCATTTTGTGCGAATTGGGTTTGAAAAACCCATTTTGGCGACCAACCTTAATGACATTGGTGGCCATTGGCAAAAAAGCCGTGGCCATTGGCAACTTTCCCGTGGCCATTGGCGAATTTGCCAATGGCCACGGCTTTTTTGCCAATGGCCACGGCTTTTTTGCCAATGGCCACGGCTTTTTTGCCAATGGCCACGGTTTTTTTGCCAATGGCCACGTTCCCCATTAAAGTTTAAATTATTATATGAAAGAGAGGGTTTAGGGATAGGAATGAGGGCTCATGGGGGGACGTACTTGCAAGTTCGACTCTTCTTGCGCGAGCAAGAACTCAAGCCCTTTCGGAAGCTAAATCCTACAAGCCCTGTAGAAAGCAAGACTTGGTAGCCCAGTAACCTTCTCTTGGTGGGCTGGTACCCTAAACCCTAAACCCTAAACCCTAAACCCTAAACCCTAAACCCTAAACCCTAGTTACAGGGAACCTTGTTCCAGAAACATGCAAAAGTGCACCACTGAGCCAGCAAGAAGAAGGGCGGAGTGGCGAAGATGATGGAGCCACAGTCGGTGAAGTCTGAGCTGAAGTAGTCTCGCAGCTTCACCTTGGGCTGAGGGTTTAGGGTTTAGGGTTTAGGGTTTAGGGTTTAGGGTTTAGGGTTTAGGGTTTAGGGTTTAGGGTTTAGGGTGGGCTCTGGTCTTTCGGCCTTTCTGCGGCGCATTTTTGTTGCTGTAGGTTGGGCCTTGTGAGGAGATGGAAGAGTGAGATAGTTGGGTGGTGATCTACTACCCTAAACCCCTAACCCCTAACCCCTAACCCCTAAACCCTAAACCCTAAACCCTAAACCCTAAACCCTAAACCCTAAACCCTAAACCCCTAAACCTGAAGCCACACAGTGCTCTCACAGAAGGACCGAAGGGTTCTGCTAGCGACAAGAAACTTCACCGAGCCCCCCAAACCGCGGCACTTAAGGCTCTTTACAAAGAAACTTAAGCACACATTTTGCTGTTTCTCGGCAAATATAGTACCCCAAAAATTCAAAATCGCCCAAGTATCCCTAAGGAAACTGCTGTTTCTTAGCAAATATAATACGAAAAAACTCAAAATTATGCCCTAAACCCTTTGGTGCAAGGACTTGTAGCCCCAGAGGCCTGGCCGTCCGATGGCCCAACGAATCCGTACCTGGGCGCCAAAGATGCTGATTCAAAGAACAAAGGTGGGTTTAGGGTTTAGGGTTTAGGGTTTAGGGTTTAGGGTTTGGGGTTTAGGGTTTAGGTTTTAGGCTGTAGGGTTTAGGGTCTAGGGTTTTGGGGCTCAAAAACCTACCCACGGGGCTGAGGGCGGATATAGGGTTTTAGGGTTTCGGGCTTTGCTTGAAGGCCTTGAACTTCTAAATGCTGCTTTTCTTTGCTCGGCTTCGAGCCTCGCAGCTCAAGACATCTGGCAAGCCAGTGCTGCCCTCCAGACCCTCAGTAAACACTAGACCCGAAGCCACCCCCCCCAACACCCCCCCCCCCCCCCGCCTTCATCTCCCCGAACAATCGAATGCGCAAATCTCAAACCAACATCTTGCTACAGTCCCTTTCGCAGCTGGACTGCGGTACAACTGCCAGGAAAAGACACTACGCCCACTCTGTCCCTAAACCCCTAACCCTAAACTATATAAAGCCTAGTAACCCTAGCCCATTTCTGGGTGCAACCCTAAGCCTAAACCCTTTTGCGACAGGCTTCTGTGTTTCGACCTTGAACCCTAAACCCTAAACCCTAAACCCCAAACCCCAAACCCTAAACCCTAAACCCTAAGCCCCGGAACCACGTCCAACAATCTTCGACCCGGCGGCTCGTGCAGCGTCGTCGCTGTGCGGAGCCGGAAGTTGAGGCCATCCTTGGGCCAACCCTAAACCCTAAACCCTAAACCCTAAACCCTAAACCCTAAACCCGATTGTTTGGGTTCAAGGGGCTCGGGCTTCGCATTTCTTACCCGGAAAGGGGGGGGGGTGGGGGTGGATGATTTTGTGCGGTGCTCTGCGTGTTTGCATGAGCATTTGGAGGAGAGGTCTGCGGGTGTCTGGTGATGTCGAAGGCACCTCGGCTCAATCATGTTCTTTGTGCAAGAAGATGTTCTTACATTAAGGTGTGCTCGGCAACATATAGGCTACTGTAGTCTGCGAGCTCTACCTAAACGCCGTGTCTTTCATGCCATGTCCCAGATTCACCACGCCTGCTGGCGAATCGAGCACGGTTCCTAACCTGTCAAGTTTGACTTTTTGTTCTGCTGTTTGCCCAAGGCTCAAACTTGTCCAGAACAGCGTCCAAGCTGTCTTGGACAAGAGGCCAGTCGTCCGTCCTCAGTGTCTGCACCGACAGGAAGCATGCGGCTGAACACAAGAAGCAATTCAAGTAACCCTAAACCCTAAACACTAAACCCTAAATCCTAAACCCTAAACCCTAAACCCTGAACCCTGAACCCTAGAAACCATCCTCCAAGCTCAAGCCCTACACGTCTACACCGCTGTTCGCCGACTCCCTGCGAAACATACAAGGCTGTTTTTCAAAACTTCGGAAGCCTCAGGAGCTCTTTGTTAGGTGGGCTTTTGGGGGTTTCGGGTTTCGGGCTTAGGGTTTGCCATGATGTAGCGCTGAAGCTGTGAAAGGTTGGGATGCAGAGTAGCTTCGACATGAGAAACGGGTTTGGGAAACGGGCTAGCACACGCAGGTGAGATAGGAGCACGTCAAAAGGCAGCAGCAAAAAGTGCAGAGCACATCTTACACTTCAAAAACGTGTCTTCCCTTTGTGCGGGAGGTCTCCTTACCACTGCTTACCTCGCCCTAATTCCTCTAGCAGCCCTAAACCCTAAACCTTAAAACTTAACCTGACCTCATGCCGTGTACAGGTACCTTGGGCTGAAAAACTCTTTAAGTCTTTGAGCTTCCAGTCGGCTCGATTCAACTTCTTGAGCATGCATACGTCGATAGATAGATGTGTATCGAATATAAAATATATGAAGTATGAACTGCATATGTTGAATGTAGTACGTGAATGGTTATGGATGTTCATATGTATACATATATATATATATGTATATATATATATATGTATCTCTATATGTATGTTTTTCATTTACTTTGTTCACGTGTTTTTGGGTGTGTATACACGTGTAAACTTGCAATCACGCACTGTGAGCAATGAAGAGTTCATGTGTGTTTAGTGCTACTGCGGCCAAGCCCTAAACCCTAAACCCTAAACCCCAAACGTCTGCCAAGACTCAGGCCCTTCAGTCGGAGGGGGCTCTGGCGATCCTGAAGTGTCTCAAACCCATGGTCCAAGACTTCGAAGTTTGGGGTTTAGAGATCTTAGGGCTTGCAGGATTTAGGGTTTTCATGCTGAAGGCTGTAGGGCTCAGGGGAGTTTAGGGTTGTTGGGTTTATAGAGGGTTTAGGGGTTGAGGGCTCAGAGGGTGCATGCCCCATACTCAACCCCCTGCCCCGTGTGCCTGATCGAGCTTTCCAGTCAGGGCCCGAACCTGATCCTGAAATCTCTTCCAGTGCCCCAAAACGTGAGACTAAAGCTGTTGCCGGCATGATCTTGCGTGCAACTGGGGGAAGGGGGAGTAAGCATGGACGGCTTACCCTCCCCCCCCCCCCCCCCCCGGTGTACCCCACCCTCCCCCCCCCATCGAGCGGCTAGTGTGCTCTTAGCAAGCACTCAGCAAGCCCTCGACACTCGGCACGGCCTCAGCAGCTGCTCGAGCAATCGAGCATCTGCGGAGAGCCTACCGAAAGCCTACCGAGCGCGTTGCGAGCGCTTAGCGAGTGCTTATTCGCGAGTGCTTAGCAAGTGCTTTGCAACAAATGCACTAGAAGTCTCCCGATTCAGGAAAGCAAGCATCCATGCTCACTAAGAGCTTTGTGTGGAGGAGTGGGGGGGGTAGAGGAGGGGCGGGGCGGTAAGCTGTCCATGAAGTAACCTATATAGGCCGGATTTCTACCCCACGACACAGCAGTCCTCAGACCCAAAAGCAGACCCTCCAAGCACCCTTTATCGGGTTCAAGCTAGCAGCTAGCAGGTTTCGAGTTTAGGGTTCAGGGTCAAGGTTTAGAGTTTAGGATTGTTGAATTTGGGGCTTCGTCGATACCTCTGTGGGGCCTCGTGCTCCAGAACAAGCTCGCTTTTCTGAAAAGGCTCAAACTCCTTTGCCAGGAGCTGGTGGCCGTCTGCGACAAGGACCGATTGTTCAGGCGACCTGCAGGGCAGATAAGGGTTGATTTAGAATTGTGCACCGGTACATATATATATATATATATACACATATGTATATAAAAGACATGACGAAGGCAGTTTTCGCAAATCTAATGTCTTGAGCCGGATTTGTGGGTAGAGGGTCCATGAATGGAGGATCAAAGACGCCAATGAGCCTCCGAAAGGACTTGGGGCAATCATCCTGGAGTTGTTGCCTCTTTATGAATGGGAACACCAGCTTATAGGACCCGAAATGCTGCGTTTCAAACCTTCAGAAGACCGGTACTGCAGCGTGCTCTACCAAAGCACCCATGCTGAAGCATTCTCGTATCCGGTATACAGAACTGTAAGGTGACTTGTGGACTTGGTGATGCCTTGAAAGTATGCAGTGTGGCACGTTTCCATGGCAAGCTCAACTAGACCCACGAGTATCCCAGGAATGAACCGGGTGCCCCTTTTGGGTTTAAAGGGGCTTTGAAGGCACCCAAACCCTGCAACAAGGGAAATAAGGGCCTACTCTGGGTCCTAGCCCTTTAAACCCTCAACCCTAAACCCGAAAAACGGGAAGGAGTATCATCTTTTGTGGGTATAAGGGACTTGGGGTCCCAATTTGGGGGTTGCCCACCTTCAATCCTCAAAAAGCGCGCAGCAGCAGAGCTGCCGCGGGAACCCTCTTCCCTTCCCCTCCGGCTCCTAAATCACCCCAAGCCCTAAACCCTAAACCCTAAACCCTAAACCCTAAACCCTAAACCCTAAACCCTAAACCCTAAACCCTAAACCCTAAACCCTAAACCCTGAACCCTACCCTAAACCCCACCCCGCCATCCGCCCCGCCGAAGCGTGCTCAGGAGCAGCGCGCGCTCGGCCTCACTCGGCCGGGCCCACCCTGCAGTCGGAGCCTCCGAGTGGGAGGTTTGCAGCTTAGGGTTTAGGGTTCAGGGTTCAGGGTTCAGGGTTCAGGGTTCAGGGTTCAGGGTTTAGGGTTTAGGGTTTAGGGTTAGGGTCTAGGGCTTAGGGTTTAGGGTTGTAGGGCTCAAACAAATTTGCAGGGGCCCCAAATTTCCCCTAGACCCATCTCGAGCCGCCGTGACGCCACGCCCGAAACCCTGCCGGCCTGAAAAGAACTTTAGCACCCTGAACCCTCAAAATCCTAAACCCTTACCCTACGAACCCTAAACTCTTTCCCCCTTGATTCCGGAATTTCGATGGGTTCTTAGTGCTATACAGGGATGAGGATCCATAAGAATTTAAGATCCATTCTCAATCCCCCCTAGAAGTAGGTTACTAGGAATCTAGTCGCCCTCAACCCAGCAATACGGGAATAGGGTACTACTATACTATTCGGCGTTCTGGTATACCATACCTCCTTAAAACCCTTGAAGCCTTGGCCCCAGGCCCAAGAATCCTCAAGCGCTATTGGCACCTCTAGCTGCCGGATACTTCTGGCTGACGTGAGGCGCCGGTCCTTGCAGGGACACGACATGGTGATTTCTCTAAGTTATGGTCCATTTTTGGGTCCTTATTATAAGGCGGCCCCTCCTATTTAGGGTACCCAAAAAGGGACCCCAATTTATAGAACTGGCCACATGAGTTTCCGAGGGATGTGGGGCCTAGAGGCTTTTGATGCACTGAGGAAAGAGGCCAATCATAAACTCCAGCAACATCCTGAACAACAAAGGTTCAGGGGTTTCCCAGGGTTTAGGGTTTAGGGTTTAGGGCTTAGGGTTTCCCATCTGGGTTTACAGGTGTGCCTTGTCAGGGGGTTAAGCTGGGTTTTCACGGGCGGGCAGCCAAGCATCAGGGTTTAGGGTTCAGGGTTTGCTGCCCAGGACTCCCGGAACCCAAGAAAACATGTTGCCAAGTGGTCCAAACAAGCGTTGCTAAGCGAACCCTTTACCACCATGAGGGGTACCCCAAGAAAAGCACTCATGTACCCTGTGCTGGGGGCAGGATCCAGGAGTCCATATAGAATTCCTATTCAGATGTGCATGCTCCCTTTCTTTGTTGGCACCTTCTGTTTGGCTTGGAGTTTATGATGTGGACGTTGACTCCAACCCAAAGAACAAGCAAGTGAGGAAACGCCTCCAAGTGAGCCCAAGAGCTCACAGACCTAACCCAAAGCCTGCAACCTTCGGCGCCCCCAGGCCCCGACTCTGCGCAAGGGCCTACCGAACCATAAATGCCCTATTGCAAGCCTGCTATATAGAAACCCTACAAACCCTACAGACCCCAAAAGCCCTTGAAACCCAACAAACCCTAAAAGCTCATGTGGACCCTCTAAACCCTATATTCGCGTAAACACCAGCAACCCTACAAGCTTCAAAGGGCCTTCAGTCGTCTGGAAGCCGTAGCTGCCGGCAGCGCCAGCAGGGCTGTTGATGCGCCCCAGCCACGGCAAGCGCACCGCCCTGCCGCCGTTCTGCTTGTGGCTTTAGGGCTTTCGACTCTCGCGCAACTTAGGTTTCGGAATCCCTGAGCTCAACTTGACCGCCACATCAGCAAGCCATCTGAAGAGCCGTGGGGCTCTACTTGATTTGGGCACAGGGAGGACAAACTTCCTCAGACACCCAACATGACGAACTTTTCATATGCGCATTTCTAGTTTGCATATTCATTTGTGATCATTATCTTCTATTTTTGGGGTTTAATTTTATTTTTGTGCTTGTCCGGTTCCTTAGCTTGAAGGACTAGAGGCGGACCTTCGCACCCTTTTTGCAAGAGGCTTTGGGGGCCTCTGGCCTCGATGCGCCGGTGCAAAAACTCAGCGAGCTCACGGTACACTGGCTATACAGGTCGTCCGCCATGAATTCCGAGCTCTCCGCGAAGCACCCTAAACCCGAAAAACCCTAAACCCTAAACCAGGCTTGGGCAGTCGGCCGGGGATGGAAAAACACTAAACCCTAAGCCCTCAGAATGAGCCGTGAGCGTCGTTCGCCTGGAGAAAGCCCAAAGGCATTTACAACCGCCTCACCACCTCTGCATCATGAGTACCCTAAATCGTAAACACTTAGTTCCAAAACCCTGAACACTGAAACCCTAATTCATGAACCCTGAACCCGAATAAACACTGAGATCCTAATCAACCGGAGTCTAACTCCCTCCCAAAACCCGTTTGAGCTCAGGCTCTGAGCCCTAAACCCTAAACCCTAAACCCTAAACCGGTCGCCTGCTCCTTCTTTGGCGTGATGGCTCGGAGTGGGGTGCTCCAGGACCTCCACATGAAGTGGAGAGGCTGGCCCCCGTAAGGCAGGTAGAAGGTGGCGGGTTCAGGGTTCAGGGTTTAGGGGTCAGGGTTCAGGGTTTAGGGTTTAGGGCAGAATCCAAAGCGGCCAGATCTGCCGAAAGCCCGCGAGAAACTCTTGACTCTGCATTAGTAGAATCGACAACTAAGCCCCCAAACGCTAAAGAAGCCACGAAACCCAATAGTCTGAACACCCTATATAAACACACGAAAGCCCCAGCAACGCACGCCAGCCTTAGCTGCGTGCTGCGAGGGCGCCGCTCGCGCCAAAGGCTGCATCATGAGAGGAAGCTCCCTCAACAAGGCTTTAAGGCTCAGGGACGGAAAGCCCTAAAGCCCCTAAAAACTCCCAAACCAACGTCCGATTTCATGTGGGGGGTTAATGATCTGGGGGACTGCAGCCCAAATCCCTAAACCCTAAACCCTAATGCCCTACATCCCCTCTCCAACTTCCCCCCAAGCAGAAGAGTTGTTCTTCAGGCGCCGCTCAGGGCGCCAGGCTTTCGGCTTAAGGTATCCCAAGCTGGGAAACTCCTTAGTATTTTCCAGGTCTTTTCTAGTTCATGGTTGGGATAGTATGAAAATTTAAACAAATAAATAAATATATATATATATACATATATATATAGTCTTATTGGTTTAAGTACCCATAAAAATGCAAAATGTTACCCCAGTCCATAGAATGGCAGGCGCGGCCAGCATTGGCAAGCTCATCCTATGCTCAGCCTCGGCTTGAAAGCTGCGGCCAGTTCTGCAACAAACACCACGCATCCTGCCTGAGGAGGCAAGGCATCTGAAAGCACACACGTTCGACATCCCCCTAAACCCTAAACCAACCCTAAACCCTAAACCCTAAACCCTAAACCCTAAACCCTAAACCCTAAACCCTAAACCCTAAACCCTAAACCCTAAACCCTAAACCCTAAACCCTAACTCCCTTCCCAACCCTCCGCCAAAGCCCTCAGCCCCGAGAGACCGAGAGCCGCACTTTGCTTCCTCGCAGCCGTACTCATCCTCCTCCCCCGCCTTTGGCAGAGAAACAGAGGGTGGCAGGATCCTAAGCCCTAAACCGGTTTAGGGTTTAGGGTTTAGGGTTTAGGGTTTAGGGTTTAGGGTTTAGGGATACGACTTAAATACCCAGCCCTGCAGCCAAGAGTGGCCTACATACAGAGGCTGGAGCCCTTCGAACCCTAAGTCCGCACCACCTGAAGCCTAACCTCCACACCCACTCCTCATCGACATCCTACTACCCCCTCCTGGCGGTTGAAGGTTTAGGGTGGGGAGTTGAAGGCCCACGGTTCACACTCAGGGCCAATGGTTATGGCGTTCAGCACACCCCTCCTCCCCAAATGGGCTCACTCAACCGGAGCCTCCACCCTGTTGACGACGAAGAACCTGTCGTGAAGATTTCAGGCCATGGGTCCGGGACTCTTGGGTGTGCACCGCGGCAAAATGAACCTACTCTTTGCTCAAGTACCCCATAAGAATGAAATATTATGAGCCCCAGACTGCCCGTATAAGGAATATTCTGCGTATTGTTGTTTTTTTTTTTTTTTTGGGGGGGGGGGGGAGGGGGCGGTACGCAAATGGTAGTAACACAGGCGTAGTTGTTAAAAGGCAGGCGCTTAATCCCATAAAAAAAACTGTAAAAACCCTTAAAATGGCCCTTCAATGGCCCTTAACCCATAAAAAACACAAAAGAAAGACCCCGAAAAAAAGCCCCTTCAGTGGCCCTAAAACCCATGGAAAAACGCTAAAGAACCCTTGAAAACCCCTAAACCCTAAACCCTAAACCCTAAACCCTAAACCCTAAACCCTAAACCCTAAACCCTAAACCCTAAACCCTGAACCCTAGACTGGTTGTCTGGGGCCATGGCGGGTCTGGCTTTCTCTTCCACAGCTCGGAGGACTGCAAGCCAAAGGCCGTCCTTCAGACCAGTGGGGTTTAGGGTTTAGGGTTTTTTTTGGGGGGTTTAGGGTTTAGGGTTTGGGGTTTAGGGTTTAGGGTTTGGGGTTTGGGGTTTGGGGTTTAGGGTTTAGGGTTTGGGGTTTAGGGTTTAGGGTTAAGGGATTCGGGCTTAGCGGCTTCTGAAGGGTTGGTCCTTAAGGGGTTTAGGGCGTCATCGCTCGCGCTCGGACAGGCCAGGCGCGGCAGACTGGGTGTTGAGTTTGGGAGTGTGGGGTTTAGGGGCTGAGGAGTTCGGGGCTTAGGACAACCCTAAACCCTAAACCCTAAACCCTAAACCCTCTCGCGTGGGCAGGAAGCTCCACAGCGGGGTTACGCAGGGCTCTCCTTTTTGCCACCAAGCAGCAACACAAAACAAGACAAGAAAGAAGGACTGTTCTGATAGGAGTCTGTGTCCTATGACTTCTGCCTAAATGCTGTACACTATACATATTGGCTTCTTTTCGAAAAGAACAGTGTGCTGGTGACAAGGGCTCCTATTCCGTAGACCTGAGCCAATGCCACAGATAAGCCAAGTCTCATTGACTCTAACTGGCTGCTCACTCACTCGCGCTCCCCCTTGGTGACGTGTCACCAACTGTACTACGGGAGGCAAAAGAGCTTCATCATCACAACGGCAAAGAGGGCTCTCACTGGATCCTGCGGCCTGGGATGCTTTCCCGGCAGGCTCAAGCGTAGCCTCTTGGAAGCAAAATGCTTCGTTGAAGAAATGGGCTTCGAATGCTCCACTCCGGCCTGGAGTGTTTCCCCGGCATGGATGAAGCAAGAACTCATCTACCCTGTTGGGTAAAGGCGTTGCACATCGACCTCAAGTTCAGTGCGACCACGCCACTCGTGTTCATGGTACCGGCGAGCAGCTTCTGGGTTTCGCCAGTTATCATCATAATACTGTCGCTCACCAGCTGCATATATGGCTAGCGTCCTCCTGCGGCCTGTGAGTGCTCCCAGAGGAACGGGCAACCTGGTCTGCGCTGGGTCGAAGCGACGAACTCTCACGACAGCGTGCCAGCGTACTAAGACAGTTGGTCTCTCTGCATCGTACTGAAAGAAGTCCTGTCGAAACTCTGGCGGCGGTGCCTGAAAAAGTGTGGATAGATCTCCACCCCATGATGTCCTCGTCAGCCGCATTTCCCTCATAGTTGGCTGCAGCGTGGGGGCGGGCCAGCCGACCCTGAGGATATAGGGCGGATCAGGTGGATGATTGAGCCGTAGGGGCCTTGCTTGCAATGGGCCTCTAGGCTGGGCGACTACGTCTCTGTGGACAGGCTCAGGCGGGTTCGCTGGCGCGTCTGCTGGGCCTGGCATAAACACCTGAACCTCATCATCAGCAAAGGCAAATGTGATAGGGCGGCCTTGAGGCTCTACATCAGGCTCCTGCTGCGCTACAGGTCTTGGGGGCCTTCGCCTCAAGCCTTCTTCAGGGGTCATTGCGGGAACGGGATCCCTAACACGAGCAACGGGGGCCTCATCAGGATCTGGGCCTTCATACTCATCTTCGGGCTGTTCAGGGATGAAAAGCTCTTCAGGTTCTGGGGCTGGGAGTCTCGGCCTGAGGAGTTCCTCGGCAAGACAAAACACTGCCCTCAAACAAGCCTTAAATGCTTCCCAAACTGCAATGGACGTGATTGAGATTAACGCAGCAAACACTACAAGAGACCAGTCTTCACTACTCTGGGTCCTGTCCTGGTCCTTAGTGGCTCTGGCGTTGCACAGGCAACAGGCCAAAATGACTGCCCTTAGGCAATCCTTCACGTGCTGAACGGATTTTGCCTTAGTGGTTTCAGCAGGCGGATCCTGCGCGGACATTCCCAGCACTGCCATCAACGTCTTGATCCTCTGCGGGCCAAGCGCCTTAGTCCCTATATCAGCACCATTCTTGTCTCCACCTACATGCACGAAAACGAGCAATTTCATGTCGGACCTCTCTTTCAGGACTCTAGCCCTAATTTTTAGGTGACGGGTTCTCCAAGAAACGGTGGGGCTGTTAGATTTCCAAAAGCCTCTTAAGTGTTAGGGTTCTGGGTTTTGAGAAGCTGTTTCTTGACTCCGCATGATCTAGTCCCGCTTTCTAGCGGTGGCTTACGGTTTCATTTTTATCTTGTGTTTGCCATGTGTCTCTGGCCTGTCGCCACTGCTGCTCGACAAACGTTTCAAAGCATTTGTAGGTGAACGGTGGCAGTCAATGTTTTGGGCCTGTTTTCTGTAAAATTGTTTTGCTTGCAAGACAGTTTTGCAGGATGTTGCAGACATGGCTCTTTTCCAGACCAATTGAACAATTCGCGTGCAGAAGTTTATCCTTCGTTGCCTGCTTTGCGCGCGGCGCATGGCAGTCTGGCAGCCAGACAGTTGTGGCACATGTTGCTTTTGCTGGCGGGCTATGCAAATGGATGCCGTCGCAAACGCTGTGCAGATACAAAGGCCAGGCTCCCACAATATTTGCCGGAGCCCACATGGTTCACAGAGCGTTTGAGAGAACAAGGTCTAAGTGAGCTTTTGACGCGTGTGCCGCGTGCTCAGCACTACAGTGCAGCCGCAAATGTGCACAGCGCTGTGATTGAAGCAGCAGTGCGTGTGCAGCCTGGTGAAATATATTCAGGGCCTCTTACGAATTGGAAACAAGAAGCTCATTTGCTGTGGAAGTACTACGGGTGCCCGTGTGCCTCGTATTCGCTTTGTATAAGTGATGTCTGGCGCCTCAGTTCACCTGCAACACTGTCATCTGCAAGGGGCCATGCTGGCAACCTCAGTCTTCGGCACTTTTGTTTTCAAGGCAACGTTGCGCCGGTGAAGGACGACGCCGTTTTGCATAGACCTTCCAGCCCCCAGGATTCCCAACAATTAGGCGATGTCATGGACCACTGGGGCTTGCAGGAGCTCCGAGCCAACCTGAATGACGTGCCTGTTTTGTTCCTGCCGAAATGCGTGCTGGAACTAATCTGCAAGGGGCAATGGCCGACAATTGTTCTTCATGCTGACGGTAACCATCGAAGCGCACGTAATGTCAACTTGGAGGCTTTGAAGTTTCTCAGGACAGCCATGTCCTGGCCTTCCATGGAAGACTTCATGAAGATCTGCAGACAAATCGGTGCTACTGCAACTGCTCAGTTTTCTTCTTTCATGTTGACAGAGCAGAGGGCTCAGGTTTTGCTAGACCACGTGCGGGCGCACGCAGCAACCAATTTTCAGCATCTGGAGCAGGGAGAAAATCAGGCTGTGCAGGAAGCCGTCCAGGCTTTGCAGATCTTTGTCGATGGATTTGCGAAGACAGGCCCGGAGGCACGTGCCTCTAACGCGAAGAAAACTGCTGAAGAGCTGATCGCTTCCGTGAGTGCTGCGCAGTCTGTTCGTAACCGGAGCAAGATGATAGAGCTGCAGGAATCTCTACTAACGAAGTTCACGCCAGCTGAGCTGACAGATGCAGTTCGCCAAGTTGTCACGAAGCCCTCCAGTGGAAGCTCAGTATCCAAGAACCAAGTGTCGTGCTTGTTTAGCGGGTCTTTTCTTTTTTTTTGGGGGAGGTGTTTCCTGTGATGTCAGAGCCTTCTTTCGGATGTTCATGACGCAATCGCTGAGGTCAAGGTTGATGCTGCCTACGCTTTGTGTGTTCGCGAAGAGCTCAGGAAGGATTCTGGGCCCATTTTCGTTTGGGCCGACTCCAGTCCGCAGGCAGGCTCTGACTATCTCCTCTCGTGCTACGTGACCATAAGCAGGGATAGTGTGGTACAGTGCTGGGACCATTTTGAGCAGCTTGTTGCGTCAGTGGAAGATTTTCAAATTGCTGTCAGTGAGAAAGAGCCAGAGCTCTTGCTAGAATGCGTAGCAGTTCGATCTGCGTCGGGCAGGTTTTTGGTCAAGAATATGAAGAAACACTGTCAAATGCCAATGTCGCTAGGTAGCGGATGCACGAATGTTGAAGACAAAGGTAAGGCTATGGCTGTGAAGTTTCACCGCGAAACGGGGGACGTCGTGCTGCTCTCAGATGTCTGTCAACGTGTTGCCAGCTTTACGACCGATATGGGCACCGAGCTTGGTGTGCCTGATCTTGCAGGGGGAAATGTTCAAGCATACCTGCCAGACTACATGAGGTCGGGTCTTGTGCCAGAGCTTGATGGCATGGAGGGTCTCTTCGCAGAAATGCCACCTGTCATTGCGCCGCATCTTTTCCCACGTGCTCTTGTTGTCCCCGGTTTAGATCACATTGCGCACAACTTGCAAGAAGACTTGGATAAGCACCTTCGGTCATGGTCTTCCTGGCTTCCCGGATTCAAGGGGCTTTGCCTTCTGCTCAGCAAAAAGCACCTTCTGAAGAGGCTCATCGCGACGTGCATTGAAGGCACCCCACTCTCATCATTGAAAGGAATCTTTGAGAGCACGGTGCCCTCAATTGCGAAATGGAGATGGGGCACGATATGCAAAACTCTGCCAGCTGTGCTTTCGGTTTTCAAGCCTTTAAAACTCGTGTGGAACGCTGAGAAGTTTCAGAAACAAAATCGTTCTGGGGGTGATCCTCTTGAAGATAGCGCCGATCAGGCAGAACAGGAGGAAGATGAAGATATGAAGGTCCTGAAAGTGGGTGACATTACTTCTGCTTTGAGGAGTGATTTTTGGTTGGCGTATGCACACATGCTGCTAAGTTTGCACGAAATTGGAAATCGAATATCCAGTTGGGCTTCTGGTTGCCCTTGCCATGGCTGGCTGCAGGCAAAACCGAATGCTGGCCCTGGTGTTGAGAACCATTGGGATGTTTACTTGCGTGAAATTGTCCGTGCACGTGGCCTGCCTCTTCAGGAAGATGGGGCAGCTTTCTCCTGCCCCATGGCCGGCAAAAGGGCGCCGGAGTTGGCCAGCGGATGCTTGACTGAGATTTTAAACTCGACTGCCGATGCCAAGAAGCCTGATGTTCTGATAGCAGCTGCTGGACTGGGCAGGGAGATGCACGACAGCGTCATCACGGATTTTCAGACTGGCGTGGATTTCATTTCTTTGACTGTCAGTATCAAATTGGGGTTTTGGAAAGACTTCCCTTGGAGGCTTTGCTCTTTGATGGTTCCTGGAATCAGCGCTGAACAGAGGGCACAGAAGGCCCAAGAAATCCTATCAGCTTTTGAAAGTCTTCCGCAGCACCAAGAAGCCCATCATCGAATTACATGGCATTTCATGCAGCCGCAGTCAGCTTTGCGCGAGCAGCTGGAGAAGCTTGCATCGTGCACGCACACTCTTAAAGATCTTCCAGAGCTGCAGTATGAATTGTGTGTGCTTGGTTTCATGCCGGTGGTGGAGCGTGTCGTGGAAGGGCAGCACTCTTTGGTTCATCGTCACACAGGTTATCGTCAGGTCAGCGGGGCCTATGTATCTCTTAGTCTCCGTATGAATCAAATCAACGACTTTATGGCCACAGAGGCGGGTGAGCAATTGATGATCAACATGTTCGACAAAATCAGAAAGCCCAAGCTGCTTGCAAAGACCTTCAAATTCGATGAGCACCCAGAGTGGCTAGCTGCTCTCAGCAAGGGGAAGCAGGGCCAGCCTCGCCTCGGAAGGATCGCTGTAGCCATCATGTACATGAACGACATCGCTTTGCAGTTCCTGAAGCTAACCTCTGTCCGCAAGCAAAACAAACAACATCGCAAGCAAGAGGAAAAAGAACGACAGAAGTTGCAAAGGCAGGCACGCCCAGTCGAGCCAGTTTCGGAAGAGGTGGTCTTGAGACGACTTTTCGCAGCTCACGTTGCCAGCTCGTTGGTTCCAGGAGAGTTCTACTCAATGCCAGCCAGTGTGTTCCAAGCATCAGTCTCATCCCTGAATTCTGCGATGCAATTTGCTCCAGCCCCTGCGCATGCCATCGAAAACAACGAAGAAGCACTCTTGAAAGATGCTGAGGTGGCTGTGCAGCCTCCAGGTAGCGATTGTCGCCAAGACATTTTCTTCAAGGTCTTGTCGACCAGATCAGGCTTTCTCAGGACTGTGCGTCGTGCCCCTGCCAGTCAGCGTCGGTTGAACAGGAATGACATTGCTTTAACATTCCACAAAGCTGTGCCAGGGCAGAGCAATCCGGAAGCTTGCGTGGTGCAATCAGAGCCAGTCATGTGTTCAGCAGGGGGTAACGCAGTTCACGTTCTTAGCTCTGTTGGTATGGATGCCGACAAGATGGAAGACATGTTGCGATGGCAGCCAGGCGACCAGGACTGTGTCATGACCTTGCCGAACTATTCAGGTACCATGGATGCCAGACTGTTGGGACAGCTTGTTTCTCACAAGGCCTTTGTTGGCCAGCCCACGCGCATGCCTGAGGCTTCTGTGCCAGCAAACATGCGAGCCACATTGCAGGACATGCAGCACGATGGCTGGGTAGTGTCTGATTCTCAGGGTTGGCAACTGACTAGAGATGCTCTGGCCAAGCTGTCTTTATCTTATTGCCTCGAAAACCCGAAGGCGTTTCATGACCAGCCTGCACATGTGCCCGCGTTGGAGGACCAAACGCCTTATCAACTTTGCGCAGCCTTGAAGACCCAGGGGTGGCAGTGGAAACTTTTCAAAGCAGACATCTCACCTCCGTACGTTTTGGGCGGAGACCGTGTGTGGTACAGTCAGGGCACCCTTGTCTCGAAGGATTATATGCTCTGTTTGCTTCGATCTGAGTCTGTCCTTCAGGAAGGACAGCGTGTTCACCATGGGCAGAAAGCAGCCTACTACCGAACGTTGCTCCAAGGCCAGTACGCCCACGCTGAAGGCATGTTGTGCATCAAGAACAAGCAAGAACCTCGCGTGGCCATTGAAGACGCTTGCCCGGCAAGAAGCTTAGAATCTCTAGGTGACATGATGCCAGAAGATGACTTGCTTTGGCAGTCCCTTGCGCTGAACGAAGAACCGACTCTGCCAACTCAGCCAGTGCCCAAAGCAAAACAGCCGGCGAAAGCCAAGCCACAGCCCAAAGCCAATGTGTCACGCAAGAGGCAACGTCGAGGGTCAGGTGCCACCGACAAGGATGACTCAGATGCGAGCTCGGCTTCTCCGAATTCTTTCGCAGACCTTTGGGATGTAATTTCGGAAAAGGCCTCCAGCGGTCTTCCAGATGATGTACAAGACTATACTCTCCAAGCCTGCCAAGCCCTGTTCCTGAGAACACTGCAGATGCCAGAGGCCCCATGGACATTGCTTCAGGTGAGAGTCGGCGATTGGATGAGCAAGCTGGACCAGGGCATGTAGATTCACCAACGGCCTTGGATGCCCCTGTACCAAGGCCTGCAGTACGCATGGTTCGTCCTGAAACCATATCTGCGTGGGGTGGGGCGAAGTGCAAGATTACATGGCGTGCTCCCGGTAGGGACTGTGTTCACGGTGCATGGCAGGCCAAGTGCCCCTATCATCGGAGAAGTGCAATTACAGCTTGCACCAAATCATTGAATCTAGCAGAAGATACAGATGAGCAGCGCGAACTTACTCTTCGAATGGTGAAGAATTGGCTCTTGCAGGCACGTTCTTTTGATCGTGCGTGGAAGCATCAGCAATGGAACCCAAGATCATATGAATGTCCTTCAGAGCACATTTTGGACATTAAAGCTGAACAAATGCCAGCACTGTCTGAGGCAACCCAAACTGATGATGAGTTAGACGCTCGAGCAGCTCGAGCAGCTCTTGCTTCGACTCCGACGCCAAAGGCCAAAGCCAAAGCAAAGTCGAAGCGGAAACCGAAAGCCAAACCCAAACCGAAGCAAACACAAGCGACGAAGCGGAGAGCCAAGCCGAAGGCAGGGCCACCAGCATCAGAACAGGGTAGTCAGGATGAAGCAGCAGCAGCAGCAGCAGCATCAGACCCAAACCCTTCTTCCAGCTCTTCAAGTTCAGACAGCTCGTCTTCTAGCTCTGAATCTTCCTCTGATTCTTGACTCATCTCACTTGCAGATCAGCACATGGTTCTTTCGACTTCGACCTCGATGAGCAGTCTCAGGCCAGGTCACGTGAGCTTCGTGCCTTCGTCGCCCCAAAATGAGGGTTGCCTTCCTGCAACAGTCTTGTTTCTGGGCTAAGTGGTGTGGTGGAAAGCCTTCACTTTTTGTAGGTCCCAGACACAGCCCCTTTCGGGACCCACAAACAAAGCTCCCAATCCAGCAAGACAGGTATCGTTTTTGTGGGTCCCAGACATGGCCCCTTTCGGGACCCACAAAAAATGCCCCCAACCTAGCACGATAGGTGTCTCAAGGCCCCAAAAAGGCTGAGACTCTCAGACACGTGGCGGGCTCCTAGGGTTGTAGGGTTTAGGGTTTAGAGTTTAGGGTTTAGGGTTTAGGGGGTTGTTTAGGGGGTTGTGAGGTACGCGAGGGTCATTGCGGGCTCTGGGGGCTGCAGGTTTGGGATTTCTTACACTGACAGTCCTTAGTCGGATTGTAATCGGTGGCGCTACAATCCCAATTAAGGACTGTTAGTATAAAGGGGAACATCCCAACCAAGTTATTAGGGTAAAACATATCCTCTTACAGTTTAGCATTCAAAGTGTAGTTACTGTAGTTTAGGCTCCCGAAGGCCCAAAGACCCTAGAGAGGTCCATAGGCCCCGAATACAAGGTTCTGAAACCCAGCCTCAACTTCCCTCCCAGCCAGAGTCAAACAAGCTTGTGCACCTTTAGCGCTTTCCTCGGGTCGGAGTGTGCGCAGAAGATGCTTTCGCGCAGGCGCGACTTCAGCTTCGACTTGATGTTTCTGGCCGGTTCAAGTGGAAGGCCAGCAGTTAGATTGTTTGGCGGTGTGCACGGGGGACCCCAAGCCCATCCGAAACTCCTCGCACCCCCTTCGCTTGGCAGGCTTCTTTGATGCTATTCTGAAGCGGTCCCTTGGGGGCCGGAGCCTCGTTGTGCCGAAAAGACTCTCTTTGCACTTCAGGAGTTGAGGTCCATGTTTATTTGTGAACCTATCCGGTGATTGGTTAGGTTCGTCTGGGTCATGCCTGTTTCTTGATTGCCTTTGAGGTCGAGGCCTACTGGGGCGAGCTTTGGCTGCGACTGCAAGGCTGGAGCAGTCACGACTCATGTCTTGTTGAAGGTCTAAGTGCGTGCCGACCCAACTGTGCTGTACCGTTCCTGTCAGATTTGTTTTGGGTAAGCGTAGCTATCTTCATGCTCGCAGGACGATGTTTTGCGCCAAAGAAAAATATAATATACAAGGGGTTTCTGTCGAAGCGTGCTGAAAACTTTTGCCATGACGAGTTCTGCTTCAAGTACAGCACGTGTTGCTTTTGAAAAGGTGCTCCTGCACGGGTAGGGAGCACCTATTATTTTTGCCTGCTCGGAAAGGTCGTCGGCCAGTGGGACTTCTTGAGCCGCGCCGGTCTGTGCCTGTGAGCAGCTGGCTTGCGAGGGGGAGTGCTGTAGTGCTGCAGGGATGTCTGCTGAGTCTGCTGGAGAGGGTCAATCATGAGATCTCTCTTAAGAACTCCCAGACTTCCCACACACACTTAGTGCTCTTTAGGGCCACTTTAGGGTTTAGGGTTTAGGGTTGAGGGTTTAGGGTTTAGGGTTTTATGGTTAGGGTTTAAGGTTTAGGCTTTAGGGTTCAGGGTTTAGGGTTTAGGGTTTAGGGTTTAGGGTTTAGGGTTTAGGCTCAAACCTCAACTTACAGGTCTGAAAGAACTCAAGGTGTTGCTTTCCAGATCCTGGCAGGCTGAGCAGGTGCTTTTGACAGTAGATTGCCTCTTTTCGAAGCAACCCAGTGTTCACAGGCACTTGAAGTGGCTTGATTTCTGAACCAACCTTAAAATCCTCAAAACCCAAGCTTTCCTTTGAATTTCTTTAAAGTTTAATGCTTTCGGTACGGTTCTGTCAGGATTTGAAGAAGTCGGCGTTGGTGGAAGGGCAAGGGCCAGAACGGGAGAAAGGTGGGGGGGTGTCGGAAGGATTTGGGAGGTTTTCGGGAGATTTTCGAGGCGGAAACATGTGGGGAGTGGGGCGGGGAAAGCCCGAGAAGGTCCCGAGGGGGTCCCGGGAAGGTCCCGGGAAGGTCCCGGGAGGGTCCCGGGAAGGTCCCGGGAGGGTCCCGGGAGGGTCCCGGGAGGGTGCCGGGAGGGTCCCGGAAGGGTACCGTGGGTTTCGGGAAGGTCCCAAACCTCCAAATGACTAAAAGCGTGGTTGAGGGATGTGGAGTTGATTTTTCGTGATTTTCTGAATTTTTCGCGACCAACTGCCACCCTTGAACCGTGAACCCTAAACCTTCCCTAAACCTGAAAGCCAAAACCCCGAAATTTGTTAATACTCTCACAAAGCCCTCAAAACAGTCCTAATGCACCTCCGAGTGCCAAGATGCGATGCCTGACAAAGATGAGGCCAGCGAATTAGCGTAGCAAACGCTCTGGAGTCTTTGCCTGTGTGCGCTTTCAAAGTACTTTGCACACGCTTCCATGTTCCGTCAGTTCCATCCTTCTTGTTTGCCAGATGTCGCATCGCGCGAGTCCTTTGGGTCGAAGTTCGAAGAGTGATGTCTGGTGTTTGGCCTGCGCTTTACTTGTGCTCGAGAGTTCTCCGCTCTGTTTGGCTCAGTTAGAACAATGACTTGGTCCATTGGGAATGACGAGGGTATGTGGTTGCGGAAGTGGTGTGTGCTCTTATCGTGAGTGGGTCTGTGAGAGAGGAGACGAGAGCGACAGCACGGGATGCGCAATCGCACACTTACTTGCTTACGTACGTACTTGCTTCTTGCCTACCTACACAGAACCCAAAACTGCTCGCTTGTCAGCATGGAAGCTCATGATGGAGATTTCCAGCGCTTGTTTCTATGGCCGCGTGAGTTTGTCCAGAAGATGGCGACATACTCCGCCCAGTGCCTGGGTGTCCTTGTCGACAAGTATCGTGATGGCCTGTCTATTGTCACAGATTTCTCGGGTGTTGGCAGTGTTGAGATCGCATGCTCATTCATCGAACATGGGCTGAGAGACTCAGGCCAGTGTCAGGAAACTTTCTCGTCGTCTCAGTTCACTGGTCTACACTGCCAACGAGCATCTGATTCCAATCCAGCTTGTCGCAAAATCTTGATGCTTGACGCTTGCAGTCATGAAGGTGAAGGTGCCTCGGGCCATGCCCCTGGCTGTGTCTTTGGGTCGCTAGAAGAAAGAATCGCGCCTGAAATTTTGCAGAAGCTTCACAGCCTACAAGCAACTTGTGTGGCCGGAGCCGAGTCTGATCTTGATGGTGTTGAGGATGCAACCCTGCAGAAGAACCTCCATCACAGATGGGGCAGACAGTTCTTGAAGTTGGCTGTGGAGGCTTTGCAAGACTCGGGTGCTGAGCTTCCAGCCACTGTTTGGTGTCATCGACATCAGAGGGCCTGTCGATTCCATGTGAGGGACGAGCAGGCTGGTGCCACCCTCGCTGCCGGTGGACCTCCTTGCATCGATTGGTCTCAGATAGGCTTGCGACTGGGGTGGCTTGGACGTGGGGCCATCCCGTTTTTGCTGTGGGCACACGAACGATGGCTTTGTCGTGAACGAATCATCCTGATGGAAAATGTGCCTGGCATCGATCATGACAGCTTGAGTGTCGTCTTCCCATGCTATCACATCACAGTCTTTACCGTGTCTCTTGCGCAGTTCGGTATTCCAGCCAACAGGGAGAGGGTGTACATCGTGATGCTCTTGCAAGGGACTTCGTGGCTCTTGCAAGACCCTGAGGCTGTGTTTCGTGAGATTTTCACAGAAGAGCACCTGTTAAGCAGTGCCTGCCAGTTCTTCTCAGCACCGCAGGACATTGTCGACAGGAACCATTCTTGGCAGGCTGTGACCCGAGGATTGCCAGGCGTTTCTCCGACCGGCAGGGCGTGGCAGGCAAAGCATGTCATGTCCATGACAGAGGTGAAGCGAGTCCGTGCGTGGGAAGAAAGGGTTCGTGGTGATCTCCAACTCGGGCGAAACCAGAGAGCAGACGTGTATATGAATGCATCGCAGAGTGCTGAGCGCTGTGGGGTCATGTACCGGCTGCCAACTCTTATCACAAATGCTCACATCTGGAGCATGCGCTTGCAGAGGCTGCTGTTAATCCCAGAGATGTGGGAAGTGCAAGGCTTTGCAATGTTCGAGAAGGGCATTCCTTCCAAGTACATGTGCCCCTTCCGCAGCTGTGTGCTAGATACCCTTGCTGCGCAGGAGTCAACGGAGCAGACTGAGGCGAAACGTACATCTCGCCGTCGCAAGTTTCAGCAGGACTTGCAGCTCAACCATCAGGACTTGCGAGTGATGGTTGGAAACAGCATGAGCCTGCAGTCTGTCGGGGCTATACTCTTATTCACCTTGGCATTCGTGCGTTGATTTCGTGTACAGACAAAGCGGCAAGAGCGCAGCGGCCGACAGAGAGACTCGTAGAGATAGGGCGAGAGTTGCGTGTGTGTCTGCGTTCAAAAACGGGGTGCTTTTTTGTTCTGTGTGTGGCACACTCTTTTTTTGCGACAACGATGTCTTCATGCTGCTCATGCCAGCCACGCTTTGAGCTGTGTATGTCTGTGCGTGCCGGCTTGAACTATCGAGGTTTTTCTGTAGCACTGTAGGTCCGGTCAAGGCAGGGCTGCAGTTGTGAGTATGACTATGAGAGGGGAGGAGGATGGGTTTGCTGGGGCCCTCCTCGATCCTGGGATCGGCGCGGACTCAAGGAAGAAGCGTCGCACAGAGCTCGCAAGCTTTGTCGAGGAACCAAAAAGCGGAGATGATTCAGGCGAGTCATCTAGGGCCAAGAAGAGGAAGGACAAGTTCCAAGAGAAGCGAGACAGAAAGAAGCTTGCGAAGGAGAAGAAGAAAGCAGAAACAGCAGCGTCAGCTGCAAGTGGGGCAACCAAGAAATGTTCCGAGTGCAAAAAAACGCTCCCGCTGGCCCAGTTTTGGGAAGATCAATCGAAGTGCAAAACATGTTCGAAAGAGAGGAAGGCTCTTCTTGACATAGCCAGGCGCCAGGGCGAGCTGGAGTGGTACAAGAGCTTGGACGAGAAAGCCCACTCCGATCTCAGCAAAGGATACAAAAAGGCGAAGGCTCAGGCTGAGAAAGATCGGTCGAAGGTGAAGTTCTCTGTCAAGCGCTACAAAGAAAGTGTCGTAGCCAGTGCCGGATCGCGCGGAGAGAGTCGCAAGCGTCTTATGAACATGGTTCAATACGTGGCCTGGGCCACGTCAGACGAAGGAGAAAGCCTGACAGAAAAGCAGGCAGGTTTGAAGTGGGATAGCATGATGCTTGACCCGGCTTTCAAGAAGGAGGGCCCAAGAGGCCCCAAGCAGAAGATCTATGTTCCGCTTTTCAAAGACATTGTGGACTACGAAGATGTCAGCCTGGTGCTCATTTTGCTTGCTGCTGCCTTGAGTGTGAGACTGAACGAACGGGCGAGTGGCGGAGAGGGAGAGAGGGAGGGAGAGGGAGAGGGAGAGGGAGAGGGAGAGGGAGAGGGAGGGGAGAGGGAGAGGGAGAGAGGGAGAGGGAGAGGGAGAGAGAGCGGAGAGAGAGAGGAGAGAGAGAGAGAGAGAGAGAGAGAGAGAGAGAGAGAGAGAGAGAGAGAGAGAGAGAGAGAGAGAGAGAGAGAGAGAGAGAAAGGGGGAGAGGGAGAGGGAGAGGGAGAGGGAGAGGGAGAGGGAGACAGGGAGTGGGAGAGAGGGGAGGGGGAGAGAGGGGGAGGGAAGGGAAGAGAGAGGGGAGAGAGCGGGAGAGAGAGGGGAGAGGGGGAGAAAATGATGTGGTGAAAAAAGTACGACTTGAGTCAAGGCAGACAGCGCCAAGTTGAACAAGAAGGCCGCTTGTCCAGCAACTTGACCCAGGAGCAACTTGAAGAAAGAGCTCGCAACCTCGTCTTCAGTGGCCATGATCAAGGCTTCGGCAGCGACATCAGTGCTACGGCTGCCAATCTTGTGTCTGGCGGTGATGAGGATGGCAATGAAGGGCTTCGAGCTTCGGTAGCTGTTTCAAGTCTTCAGGGTCTTGCGAATCCCCGGCGCTTGTCAACAGGCAGTGGCAGCAGGGCAACTGTTGACAGCAGCAGTGGTGACGATGATGCAGATGCTGAGCCTTCTGATGGCAAAGGTGGCCGGGGAGCGGCTAAATGGTTCGATGTGGCTTCAGAAACGCAAAAATTCAAACGCCGTGTCGAGACTTTGTGTACAAGGATGAAGACGCGCATGAACCAGCTGAGCCAGCAAATGCAGGATCAGCTCGATGTTTCCCGCAACATGGCACACGTGGACTTGGTGGAAACCAAGATCGTTCACCATCGCCTTCGAGCCCTGAGGATCATTGCGTCGGGAGAGCAGGCCGAGTATTCGACGTACCTGGAGGCAATCGCTGCGACTCTTGTCTTGCGGCTACGCGGTCTTGTCAGTTTTTGTGCTCATGTGTCCTGGCCATTTCCATGTTCTGCATTCATTGCTTTCATCTCAGGAAGGTGCCGGACACAAAGAGTGTCAACACGGCAGGAAGTGCAAATGATTTCTTGTTGACAGCAACGGGCCCATGCAATGACTATGAGTCCTTGATGACAGTCAGCGCACTGAAACAAAGCTTCCTTAGTATTACCACCCTGCAAGATGAGAAGGACTTGAAGACTCGTGTGGATGCAATGAACAAGTGCAACTCTCAATGGGAGGAACTCCTTGGGTCGTGCAAGAGTGCTTTCACCGAGCTCAAGAAAGTCAGCAACCAAAAGAGCACCAGCGCATCAGCCAAAGGCAAGTCCAAAGCAAAGGCAAAAGCCAAGAACAAAGCGAAGACGTCAGCTGAAGCCTATGGCATGTTCGACACCGACGCGGAGTTCAAGATGTGTCCATCCTCAGAAGCAGATGATGAAACTTCCCAGGCGGATAAGCTGTTGCTGGGGACGCCCTTCAAAGGCGTGCTTGACAAAGCGTCCGACTTCATATCCGACGCTGCTTGCAAAGCCTTGGACAAGTTCGCCAAGGAATTCGCAAGCAGTGACATTCGTGTCATGACAGGCAAGGCGCAGCAGGAAACAGGTCCCTTGAAGAATGAGCTCAGGCCTGGTAGATCGGATCGGCTTAGAGGGGTAGACTACGTTAGAGTAGACGCAGATCTCAGTTGTTCATCGGCTAGGGTAGTGAGTGCTGGGGCTTCTCTAAATTCGCAATCCTTGTAGTATCTCGTGGCTGGAGCAGTTTGAGAGACTTATGAGTACACTGCGCGCCTGGATTTGGTCCTCAGGTTCAGTTCAGGCTGATCGAAGTGGAGTGTTGCTTCCGAAGGTTTGTTTGGGCTGTCTTTTTGTAAGTTTAAGGAACCACGCACAAACTTCTGAAGTTTCGAGCAAATTTGAAGAGTTTGTACATGCTGTCAACCTTGAAATCGTTCGCCCGAATCCTTGTGGCAGACCTGCTGCTTTTGCCGAGTTTCACCTCATACCTTTCAGACCTTAAAGTCTTAGCATGGGTTCCGAGATGTACCACCAATGCTATCTAAAGACTTTTTGCGCACTGCCTCAGGCGCCTGCATCCGAAGAAGTCTCAAAGTCAGGGCCAGAGGGTTCCCAAGTGCCGGCAGCGGCAGAGGGCTCCAAAGTGCCAGCAGAGGACGCAGCCAAATCCCAAGTACCACCAGCAGAGGACGCAGCCAAATCCCAAGTACCACCAGCAGAGGGCGCAGCCCAGTCCCAAGCACCGCCAGCAGAGGGCTCAGCCAAGTCCCCGGCGGAGTCCCAAGAACCGCCCCAATCCCAAGTGCCAGAGTCAGGGAAAGGTTCGTCGCCGTGGCGCCGCAGAAAGGACCGTCAGGCAAGTCCGTGTGGCAGAGGTTGCTATGGTGTGTTGTTGAGATGAGAGGCTCAGACAAATGTGCAAAGCTAGGTGTCAGTTGTGGTTTGCAGATTGTATTGTTGGCAGCTAAGCGTTTTTCCCCCTAACACTCCATGTGAAATATCCCTGCTGCGCGACATAGTTTTGTGCCCGCGCAAGGAGCATGTGTACTGACCAGTAGTTAAGGTATCAATCGCCATCAGTACTGCTACACACCCCATGAATGTCCCATGGCAGGAGCTCAAGGAGGGTTCAACGCACGAAGAAGAGAAGGACAGCGAAAGGGCTTGCTGTCAAAGCGCAAACCCTAAACCCAGAGCCCTAACCTTTAGCCTCTTAAACTCTCTAAAGCTTAAGCCCTCAACCCTATGCCCTAAGCCTTAAACTCTAAACCCTAAACCCTCAAGACGAAAACTAGACATTGTGCCTGGAGTCATTGAAAGGGCTTGCTGTCAAAGCGCAAACCCTAAACCCAGAGCCCTAACCTTTAGCCTCTTAAACTCTCTAAAGCTTAAGCCCTCAACCCTATGCCCTAAGCCTTAAACTCTAAACCCTAAACCCTCAAGACGAAAACTAGACATTGTGCCTGGAGTCATTGTGAATTTCCAAAGTTGTTTGCCTAAACAGCTGACAGGCCGAGCGATGTTAAGTAAGTCAATCAATCAGGCACCCAAAACAAAAGACTTCAGAAGAGCCCTGAAAAAAGTCCGCCCAAAAGGTGCCGGAAGGCTCCCCAAAAGAGCCCAACAAGGCCACCCCACATTTTTTGGGGCCCACACCCTACGCCCAGCAAGGTCAAAAACCCCGTACAACTTCTATAAACCTACATGCCAGGACGAAGAAAAGACTGGCTGAAGCTTGAGATGGTTCCTCCTGGCTATAGCCACATGCATCCGTGCCGCGCGCTGTAGCCTTACAGACCCGCCGTTAAGCAACCTAGGCCCCCTCCCCTCAATATACAACCCTAAAGCCCAAATCAATGCCCGTACGCATCCTTGTCATTTTATGGCCAGCGCCAGCCTTTGCCTTCTACGCCCTCAACTCTTAAACCTTGCAGTAGAGAGTTGAGTTGCGCTCGCCACTCCCAGCCAAGCCCTTAACGATGCAGCGGCAGCGCCAGCTAGTGCCATTTGGTGGCAGTTTTGCTTTTGCCATGCCCGTGGCCAATGCCAGCCTTTGCCCCCGAACACCCTAAACCTTTAAACCTCGCAGCGGTGAGAGGCGACGCTCCCAGCCTTCAGCAAACCCTACAAGCCCTGAACCTTAACGAGGCAGTGGCAATGCCAGTTAGTGTTTGTGCCAGTTCGTAGCAGCTTTGCTTCTTTGAACAGCGCGAAGCCGTGCGCAGGAGTGGAAAATCCGGTGATTCAATGCCAGCTTTTTCTCCCGGAGCCCAAAACCCCAAACCCTCAAAACTAACTCTTTACTGGGCCATTCAATATTAATTGGGTCGCCAGTGCTAAGAGATTGGAGGCAGTAAAGCTTCAGTCGTCTTTCAGGCCGCTCCCATGAATAAGGGTTGATGCCAGGGGTAATGGGAAAGACTCAGGACACCTATTTTCACATGGTTTCGCGTTGGTCTTGTGTCCATGCTGGCTTTACCCTACCGGAAGCCTCCTAAAGCTAACTTTAAGAGGCTTTCTGGAAATCTAACAGGTGGGGCTGTTGATCACTGTGATAGCACTCAGGTTGTCGTTTGCCACAAACACCCTTGGTTCATGCTGCCACAGTTCACGAGCAAGTCCTACATGTGCAACTGCGTAGTTACTGCCAGTAGTAGTGGAGAGAAGTTCTGCTTCACATGAAGACTGCGTGCAAAACGGCTGCCTTGTGCTGACCCAGCCAACAGCAGACCCTTCACAGCGAAGCACGGTGCACTCATGAGACCTATCACCTCCTGGTGCGTGCGACGCATCTGTGTATGCCTGCAGCACGTGCATGTAGTCTTGTGCTCCTACAAGGTTGTGCTCATCCCTGTCCTTTGACCCTGCGAAAACAAGACCTACCGACGGCGTCACAGACAAGTAACCTAGAACCTGCAGGGCCTGCCTAAACGTGAACTCAGGGTCCTTTGTGCTCCACTGAGCAAGCTTGGAAACGGGGTAGCAAAGGTCAACCCTAGTACGAATCGACAACCACAGCAGTTCACCTACAACTTGTTGGCACTTCCTAATGCTTTCGGCGTTGGGGTTAGGGACGGCAACAGGGTCCTCCAGTCCTTGCGGAAGAGGCTGCACAGAAGCGACAAACTCGTTGGTGTACCTACTCAGCAAGTCCTTTGCGTAAGCGGTTTGAGTCACAACCAACCTGCCCTCCCTTGACCAGTACAGCTCTAGTCCTAAAAAGCGAACTGGATTCGACGGGTCACCTCTGGGTCAGAACACGCCCACTTTTCACAAACTGCCCTAATGACCCCCTCGCCTAAATCCTCCTCACAAACCTCACCCAACACAACACTCCCCCGAAGTTCACTCGAGGCGTCCGCGCCAGCATCTGGCATCAGCGAACCCTCCCCCGAACCCGGAAGCTCATGACACTTACTCCCTCGCTGACCATCGGGTCCAACTCGGGGCACTCCAGGATCGCCATCACCATCCAACCCTGGTTGATTATCGGGCTCGGCCTCAACCTCCCAGGTTCATCTGGCTCATTTCCCAAATCCACCTGACTAGCGCGCTCTTCATCAGGATTTGCCGGAGTTTGGGACTCTGCCAACAAGGGCCGACCACGCACGTCAACAGGAACTGTGTAAACCGCAGTCAAGAGGTAACGCCTACGATGACTGAGTTCGTCCTGCGACTTTTTGTACGGACCTGGACAATCAAGCGACAATACAAAGGCCTGTGGTGCGCGGACTCGTCTATGTTGCCTTTGGGTAGCGGTCCCGATCACACAATCTCTGCATGTCCTTAAAGGTGGCCAATGTCCATTCTTTACATGTGTTTCAAAACTAATCTTGGAAAGTTTGAGTTTGGGGCTCCCCGACACAACGGCCTCAAGCTGAGCACACACAATGCGCAATGCACCTGGCGCCCATGCCGCCCATCGAGCAGACTCCCCAACAGTGGATTGGTTTGGATCACCCACTCCCTCACCCTGCCAACCCGGACCCCTCACACTCATGGCGCTCATCGGCTGTGTGGACGCCCACGTAGTTGGCTTCCTTTTAGGGTGGCCAAGCGGTCCTTGATCCCCATGAATTTGCTTTAACCCCAGCAATCGCTCAACTGCTAGGTAACTCGGAGTGGCCCACATTGAAGGGTATCCATCTGGGGCCTCATGCTCCATGACCTCAGGGCTCAGGTACGACTGAGGGTCCTGGGGATTTTCAAACAACACCCAACATCGACTCCTGAACGTGTAGGTACCGGCATCCCCTGCCGAGGTGCTTCCCACGCGTTTTATGCACTCATCAGCTGTCCCGTCTACCCAGGTAACTGCTCGTGATGCCAACAATGCCAACATGTACATGCGATGCAAAAGGACATCAGATTCATACACCTGCGACTGCTGAGAGGGAGTCAAACCGGGCAAACCATGCACATGGGGGCCATCGCGAGCTCGAAGTGGGGGTGGACCTCCCTCCCGAAACCGACACCTCGAGAATGGACCACAGGGCGGACCCCCGAGCACCGCATCGACTTTCCCCGAACAAACTAACTCAAGGAGGTACCTATACGTGAGCGGGTTCATCAGGTCTTCTTTTAGGTCGACCGACACACAAACACCTCCTGCAGCTGTCACGGCATCTTCAATCTGCCGCCGGCTCTCTCCAGCAAACAAGTTAAGAACGACCTTCCCAGCCTTTTTAAGTTTTCGCCTAAACCTACGGTTCCAGACTAAGGTCTCATGTGACTGCTCTGGCCACGCTGCGACTGCGGACTTCACATCATTTGGGATTTGGGGCCACATGCGTCCTGCAGCAACATGCAAAGCCGAACCAACGTCCCCATCAACCCGCACGTCGTGAATCAACTTGTCTAAAAGATCAATTTCAGTGTTGTGCGCTGTGCGGATTTCGAGCGTTCGTGCACACAGGCCATTGGCGAAGCTCCACATGCGATGTTGCTCAATTTCGGCGATCAACTTGTATGCCTCAGTTTCTGACACTCGGGGGCATCCGGATGTAGTGAAAACGTCAATCTTTCCGCGTTGTGGGTGTGCCAGCACACACCTTTGGCCTGACCAGTCTAGCCGACATCCAAGCTCGATAAGCTGTCCTAGGGAAACAATCGGCTCAGCCTCTTGGTCAGTGATAAGTG